AACTATTCAGCATGGTGCTGAAAAAATAATTTCAGCACCAGATCCATGCTGTAAATTAAATAGTAAAAAACACAAAGGGTGTGTTTGTTTGTAGAATTTTAACAAAATTTTACTATTCATTCAATTTTTTCCCCCAAAAATATCAAATCAAACACCTATTTTTCATTTTTTATATTATACTAAAAATTAATTTTACATTCAAAACATCACATCAACACCTATTTATATCACATCATACAACTATTCAAATTCAAAATTTTTACTATTCAAATCCCAACTCAAAATCCAAACCCCCAAACAAACACACCCAAAATGTGTTTCTTGCAATTTAGGAAGTACATTTGGAAGGTCAATTTTATTGTTAATTAATACTCCCTCCGTCCCACATAATTTGTCCATATTTTCTATTTTTGTCCGTTCCACGTAACTTGTCCTTTCTATTTTTGGAAATATAATTTTGCACTTTAATCGCATTTTAAATTTTAAATTTTACTATAATTTTCTTAATTTTAATTAAACTATTTATTTATCTTAATCTTAATTTATAATTATTTTTACTAAATAATTATTATTTTTACTAATACACTTCTTAATTACTTACTAATTATACTTTACCTAAATTTCATTGTTACAGTAATACACCCATATTACATGGGACGGAGGAGTATTATTTTCGTTCTATATAAAGTGCAATATTTTGATTTTGGCATGAGAATTTAGAAGATTAAAATAAGTGATAATTATATGATAGGATAAGATTTTTAAAAAAATGTATATTTATTTTTTTATTTAAGTGGTGTGATAGGATAAAGTAGTTAATTATTTTATATTTTAAAAAATTGCAGGATACGTAGAACAAATCAAAATAAAAAATATTATAGAATATATGAGATGGAATATACCAAAATAAAAAAAAAACGTTGCAAAATACTTTAGGCGAAAGGAATAATATATTATTTCGTTGTGTCGAGTTATACTTATAAAAATTATATAAAATTTTAATTTAATAGAGATAAATTGGTTGCTTCTATTAGTGATTTTGTTTTTCTAAAATTTTATTATTAGATTTTACAATATTATGTAAAAATATATTTGGTGTGTTTGTTTTAGGTTTTGTGATTTTTTTAGGTAAAAAAAGTATCGATAATATAAAAATATAGTATTTTATATTAAATTTTTGAATTTTGAATAAATAAAATATACTTCATATTATATAGTATTTTGTATAAATATATGTGTATTATATTTTTAAAATATTAATCAAGAAGTTTGTTGAAATTTTTTTTATTGAATAAGTAAACTTATTATTTAATTTTTTTTCGCTTTTAAATGTCACATTTATCTTTTCTATTTAAAATTAAAAATGCTTTTATAATTATATAATTTTTTGTACAAATATCTTTTTATTAATATTATTAGACACTAATAAAAATACTTTTGTAATTCACAAAAAGTAAATGAGTGGTAATTTTTTTTATAAATTATCACATCAAAATTACAATTAAAATTAAATAAAAAAGTCACCAAAAAACAAACTAATAGAAATAGAATCTTACACGTGAGTTCTACTTTGAATTTTACACATCAATTGAAGAATTTCGAGTAAATAGTTGACATTAATAATAATAATAATAATAATAATAATAATTCTTTCGTCCTATAAATAATTTGGTTAATAAACAGATCAGTAAATTATTAATACTATATTTTTATATTATTTTATTATTTTTTATAAATAGTATTGTAGGTATTTTAAAATATGAATTAATATATATGATTAAAATAAATTCGAATATGAATATTATTTTATAGATAATTAAATTCATATAATATAAATAAATAAAAATACTATTGTTTATTTATAATAATTAACTTAAACTAATTTTATAAATAAATCAAGAGTTTTAAATATATATAAAAATATTTGTAGATATAGAAATAAAAGTGTTTTTAGTTATAAGTCCTACGCGTAAGAAGTAGAAACTTAATTAAATTAGTTTATATTATTTAAATATGTTTAAAATGAATAAATTTATTAGAAACGACATATGTGCTATGATGAATTAAAAAAAAAAAACGTATAATTTGTACCCTCGGACAGAGGTAGTATTTTGTTTTTAATTGTTGATTTTTTTGTATATAAGTAAAACATTTACTTCCTCCGTCCGCGTCTAATGATCACATTTACCTTTTGCGTTATTATACTTAACATTATAAATATTCTTATATTTGTATATTTTTTTTTGTAAAAATGTATTTCAATTAGTATTATAAGACATTAATAGAAGTATTTTTGCAATTTTTTTTTAATTTGTACTATATTTTTATATAATAATTAATATTCAAAGATCACGCAAAAAATAAATGAGACCTTTAGAACCGGACGGAGGTAATATTATATATATTGTGTTACGGTAGTATTTTGTATTTTTACACATATATATAGGGAATTGTGCAAACAAAAAACAGTAAGGTTGTGTTCTTTTGTGGGTTTTATCGGGTGTTTTTACTATTTAAATTTTTTTCTCTCTCAAAAAACATTATATCAAACAATTATTTTTCTTTTTTATATTTTACTATAAATTTATTTCATATTCAAAGCGTCACATCAATATCTATTTATATCACATCAAACAATTATTCGAATTCAACTTTTTACTATTCAAAAATCTAAACCCAAAATCCCAAACCCATAAACAAACACACCCTAAATTGGAGTGGACAAAATATTTGAACTGAACTATCCAACAATTCAACGGAATTGAATTTTAGGTTAACCGAGCAAATTCAGTTCAAATACAAATACTGCATAATTAATATTTATTTAGTTTTGTTTCGATTTTTAACATTTTTTCAATCTGGTTAACAGAATTGAATATATTTATATTGCTATATTTTATAAATCGTCTTAATAATTATATAGTATTCGAATTTGGTTCGATTCAGTTCGAAATATTTATAAATATTTTTATTTTGATTGAAATTTTAATTATTTATTTTCTAAAATTCAATATGATTCGATTTATTTATAAATACTACAAATATTTTCAGTATTCAAAAATTTCGATTTGAATACCATTTATGATCTTAGATATTTATTCAAATCAATTTAAATACCAAATACCTAAATATTTATAAATATTCGAACCATGTCACTAAGGGGGTGTATTCAATCCGGATTCTGTAGAATTTTGTTGGATTTTTGAAATCTTGGTGTATACAATCAAGATTTTAAAAGTAGGTATTCAATCCGGACTTTTAAAAGTTTTTTAAAATCTGGAGGTATTCAATACAAATTTTTAAAAGTTTTATAAAATTTCGAGGTATTCAACAATCCATAAACTTTGAAAGTCTATAGATTTTAATGAATTTTAATGAAAAATTGTGAAAATTTTGTATAATATAAAATCTCTCCTTATAAGTAGAGATTTTGATGGATTCTTAAAACTATTATTATTATTATTATTATTATTATTATTATTATTGTTGTTGTTGTTGTACAAGTGATAAATAATATGATAATATTTATTAATATTATTATAATTTTTAATAAAAATAATAATTAAAAACTAAAATATATTAGCCAATTATTATCAATTTTTTTTAAATATATAGTTTTATATTATAAATATAATTTTAAAAAATATTATTATCATAATAAATATGTATTACTGTCGTCTTTTCTTTTCAATTATCAAATAAAATATATTATCATTACGGTGTTATTCTTATTTTTCAATTATTGAATATAATATATTGTTATTCCGGTGTCATTCTCCTTTTTCAATTATCGAATATAATATATTGTCATTACGGTGTCATTCTCGTTTTTCAATTATCGAATATACTATATTGTCATTCCGATGACAGTGGAATAAATATTTCAATATATATTTTTCGTTGAACTGTTAATTTATATTTTACTTTTTTATTTAATATTTTTTCAAAAAATTGTAAATTATGTTTTTTTATTTTATTTATATACGTATTTATTTTTATATAAAAAATTTATATAAATAATAATAATAACTAATAAAAAAATATAAAACTAATTTGATGTATTGAATGATATTATAATACTAAAATTATACTCCCGATTAATGTATTAATGAAAATAATTATCTTATAATATAAATAATTATAAATTAAGATTAAAATAACTAATTAGTTTAATTAAAATTAAAAAAATAAATTAAAAAGTTTAAAATGAAATTAAAGTGTGTAATTATTTTTTTTTTTTAAAAAAAGAAAGTGACATGGAATGTGAAATGGACAGAAACTACAACGTGGACATGACATGTGGGACGGACGGAGTAAAATTTAAAATATTAATATACAATATAGCAGTATTATATATGTTACAATACTTTTACATTATAAATAATTAATATTAAATTTTATTTTATAAAAATATAATAATATATAATAACTTTAATTATAAATATATTACATTTATAAAATTTGTATTTTAATAATATATAAGTAATTTTTTTAATTATAAATATATTATATTTATAAAATTTGTGTTTTGATATAAATTTATATAATTATACATATCCATAAAAAGATTTTTTTACAATCCCACAAAATCCAAATAAATGAATAAAGAATTCGATCAAATCTGTAAAAATTCATCTAAATCAATTATTAAAATTCATCAAATTCTGTAAATTTTTTAAATCTACAAAAATTTATAAATTTTTAAATAAAAAAAAACCCATTAAAATCTCAATTGAATACACCAACCCAGCGAAAGTGAAAATATTTTTAATTAAAACTAAAATATTAAATATAATATTTATGATACAAAAGGTTGTACGTAACTTTTTAAATTTTAATGTGTGTATTAGTAATAATACTAAAAAATAAGTAATAGCTTTTACTACAATAATTTAGAGAGAAGGTGGAAAAAGATAAACATTACTTACAGTAAATAAATAAAATAATATATAGAGAGAGATACACATCATTTTCATTCATCGCCAAATTTGAAGTCCAAAAAGATTCCATCTTGCTCAGATCAGTCGCCATGATTCCTTCGCAGGCCTGACGCGTTCAACTCAATCGTTGAATTTTCTACGCGCACGACGAAGAAGAAGAAGAAGCAGCAAAAGAAGAAGTGTTCGTCGACGGAAAATGCGGTGTGGTGTGGCAAAGGCGGCGAAAAATCAATTCGATCGGTTCAGCGTTCCTGTTGATGTATATTTGTATATGAACATTTGAATTCGTAAAGTATTGGCAGAGGGCCCGCCACTCACTTTCCCACTATTAAATCCAAATTTGCAATCGCAATTCTCTCTCTCTCTCTCTCTCACCAACAACCTACCTTCTTCTCTCTATCTCGCAGTGCGTGCCTGGCGCGGCTAGCTAGCAATCGACAAAAGACAGCCTCGAAAAGCATCGGTTTCGCTCAGGTGAGCAGCTTTTTGATTTTTGCGACCTCGATTTTGATCCGATCTCGGTTTTTTCTTGCTTGAGTTTGTGCCTGTGGATTGATTTAGTTTCCGAAGCATTGATCTGCTTATTTCTGGTTTGTTTTTGGATGATCGGATTGATTGGTTGATAAACGCGTCGTTGAACTGTGAAAGTCATATATCGATTGAGATTGAGATTGTAGCTGTTTGATTCATCGCTGAATGAATCGGCTTCTGTACGAATCAATACCAGTAGAGCTCACTGAATACAGTACTGATCGTGTTTTCCTTTCCATTTTTCGAAGATTCTTATTGCCTAAATTAGGATCGGTATTTTGGTTTTCGATTGTTTTTCTTTGTATCTTCATTTACTTTGATGGGTTTAATTGTGTCTTTGAATCTCGTGTTTGTGTATATATATGTAACAAATTAAGCATTCAAATATCTTAAATCTAATCTGGCTTTCACAAGGTGCGCTAAAATTGACGATCTTAATTAGTTGAAAATAAGAAGGTTTGCCAAAATACCCCAAAGTATTTTTAGGATCTTATAATTTTTGCAGCATTCATGCACCACAATTATATGAAACACATTATACACACACACACACACATATATATATATATATATAGTTGACAGGAATTGATGGTACACCATTCCTCCACAGTCCTTTCTTGTCAATTTCAATATTATTTTCATTTTTCATATTTATATATAAACATATATATAATGTCAAAGTAGGTATTGTTTGATGCTTCTCTTGCAGTCCTTCCCTTTGTGTTTTTGTCGATTTTGGTATCTGTGGGTCACTAAATTTGAGGGTGATGGTTGTACATATTTTAAATTCATAACTATATAATATTTGCTTAATTAAACATCCAAATTTGTGATGTTTTATCCATTATTTGTCAAATTAATTGCAATTTAATAATTGTCTGAATTGAGTATGATCAACAGAGAAAATTACAAATGAGTTTGCTATGCTATTGCTGTGCAAATGATCCTCCTGTGTCTACTTTCTGTTGTCCATCTTACTTATCTAATGTTCTTGTCTGATGATGCAGGATCAAAGATAATATTAGGCCTGACAATTCATTGAGTATCCATGGCAGATGAGACTCTCGCAACTCAGGAAATACCAGCGGCAAAGTTAAGTGAGGAAGTTCAGACCAATGGAGTTCCCATCAAGGTTCAAATCAAAACCTTTTCAATTTCAAAACCAGTTATCAGTAGTCATTTTCATCCAATCCTAAGCCCTTTGTATATTCCTTCCAGGTAACATCAGAAGTGAATGATGAAAAGGAGCCCAAGAAGGATGAGGAAGCCTCACTCGACGGTGAATTCATCAAAATTGAGAAAGAGTCGATTGCCAAGCCTAAAGCGATCATCGAAGAGACGCCGCGAGAAGTCTTGGAATCGCAGGAAAATATTGCAGAACTCGAGCATGAACTGCAGAGAACATCCAGTGCGCTGAAGGCGACTGAATCCGAAAATGCACAGTTGAAAGAAGAGCTCTTGCTGACAAAAGAGAAGCACCAAGAGAGCATCGGGAAGCATGAAGATCTTGAAGCTGCTAACAAGAAATTGCAGGAACAGATTTCGGAGGCTGAGGAAAGACACGCCGCAGAGCTCAAAACTTTACAGAATGCATTGCAGGAACATGAAGAAAGGCACAAGGAGCTGTCAGACGTGAAGGAGGCATTCGATCGTCTTAATCTTCAGCTTGAGGCCTCAAGCAAGAAGGTGGCAGAGATTGAGGCAGAGCTGCAGAGTTCATCTTTAGAAGCCCGGAAGTACGAAGAGTTGCACAAGGAGAGCAGTTCAAATGCTGAGTCAGAGGCACAGAAGGTGTTGGAGTTTGAAAAGTTGCTCGAGGAGGCTAAATCTGGTGCCAAACAGATGGAAGATCAGATGGCACTGTTGCAGGATGAGATGAAAGGCATGCATACAAAGGTTTCCGAGAATGAGAGTCTTGAAGCATTGCTTGGTGACTTGACAAAGGAACTAGAACTCACCAAGGTAGCAGAGTTGAAGGCGAAGGAAGATATCACATCCCTCGAGAACTTGCTGGCAGAAGCCAAAGGAAGCCTTGGAGAGAAAGAATCCCAGTTAGAGGATGCAAAAAAGAAGCTTGAGGACGAGACGAATGGGAAAGCAGAGATCGAAGAACAATTGAAAAGCCAGGAGACAAAGCTTAAGTCGGCAGAGGAGGATCTCGAGAGAGTGACAAAAGAAAAGGCTGCCCTGGAAGAAGCTGTGACGGACCTTACAAACAACGCCGCCCAAATGAAGGAAATGTGCAATGATCTCGAAGCAAAGCTGCAGCAGTCGGACGATAATTTCTGCAAAGCTGATGCACTTCTGTCCGAAGCAGTATCGAATAGCAAAGAACTCGAGCAGAAGTTGAAAGCACTCGAGGAGCTTCATAGTGAGTCAGGCCATGCAGCCATGACTGCCAACCAGAAGAATGTCGAGCTCGAGGACATGCTAAAAGCATTGAATGATGCAGCAGAGGAAGCAAATTCAAAGCTGAGGGAGTCTGAAACGCGTAGCATTGCAGCTGAGCAGCGGGTTCTCGAGCTAGAGCAGCTGCTGAATTTGGAGGAATTGAAAAGCCATGATTATCAGAGGGAACTTACAGAGTTATCGGAGAGTGAAGCCGGGGAGAAGCAGGCAATGACCGAAAAGGTGAAGGAGTTCGAGGCTAAGGTTGCAGAAATCGAGTCTGAACTGGCAAAGGTGACCGCTCGGAATTCTGAGCTTGAGGCAGAGTTAAAGAATGCAGTGGACAGATCCACCGAGCATGAGGGACGAGCCAGCACAATCCATCAGAGGAGCATTGAACTCGAGACCTTAATGCAGGCATCCGAATCGAAAGCAGCGGATGCAGGCAAAAAGGCAAGTGAACTAGAGCTGCTCCTCGAAACAGAGAAATATCGGATTAAAGAGCTCGAAGAGGAAATAGCTTCTCTGGAGAAGAAACATGCAGGTGCAGAAGCAGAAGCTTCAAAAGGTGCAAACAAGGTGTCCGATCTTGAGTCGGAGCTCGAGGTTTTCCAGTTGAAAGCATCAAGTCTAGAAACTGCTCTTCAGGCATCTGCCGATAAGGAAAAGGAGCTGACCGAATTCTTGAATTCAGCAACTGAAGAAAACAAAAATTTGAAGGATTTGTCAAAAACAACGAATGAGAAGCTATCCGAGGCAGAAAATCTGGTTAACATCTTGCGGGACGAACTGAACATGTGCCAGCAGAGGTTGGCGAGCATCGAGGATGATCTCAAGGTTACCGGGCTCAGGGAAAGCGAAGTCATGGATAAGCTCAGGTTAGCCGAGGAGCAGCTCGAGCAACGAAGCAGAGTTCTTGCAGAACTCGAATCCTCACACGAGTCACTGAAGAGGGACTCAGAGGAGACAATGGCGAGATTCACCGGCAGAGATTCCGAGGCCAACGTTCTGCACAACAAAGTACAGGCCCTAGAAAGTCAGGTCAAGGCTTATGAAGTGCAGATTGAGGAAACTAACGAACGGTATGCTGCTGCAACCAAAGAGATTGATCGGATTCTGGAGAAGCTGGCTTCATCCGAGGGCATCAACGAAGACCTGAAAGAAAAGATTTCGGAATTAGAAGGTAAAGCAGAATCGCACTTGTCCGAGTATTCAGTTTTGTCTGCTCACAATGCAGAGCTGAGCGACAAGGTTAAGGATCTTGAAGACAAGGCAAAAACTGTTGCTGAACTGACTGATCGGCATGCTAAAGTCACTGAACTGCATTCGGTGGCAGAAGCTCGTATTTCAGAAATCGAAGCAGAGCTGGAAGAAGCTGTAAAGAAATCGAATCTAAAGCATTCGGAGGCCATGGACTTGCATGAGAAGCTAAAAGCTTTCGAAGCACAGGTGATGACCTATGAACATCAGGCTAACGAAGCATCTGCAGTTGTTAAGAGCCGAGGATTAGAGTTGGAAGAAATCACATCCAAATCAAAGAATCTAGAGACCGAACTCGAGGAAAAATCGAGCCGGTTTGAAAAGGAGACTCAAGAGCTGGTTCAAGCCAACCAAAAACTTTCTGAGGAATTGGCTTCATATAAATCCCAGGTAGAAAAAAGAAAACTTGATCCAATTAGTCTTTTCCTGAATTTTTACGACTCGAACATTGATAAATTTGTCGCCTTATTACAGATATCTTCTGTCATGGAGGAGAACAATTTGCTCAACGAGTCATTTCAGAGTTCAAAGAAGGAGCTTCAGACAATAATAGTACAGCTCGAGGATCAGTTGAAGGAGCAGAAAACAAACGAGGATGCTCTGAAAGCTCAGTTGGAAGCCCTCAGCGCTGAAGCCGGACAGAAAGGCGATTTGCTTAACCGTGTTAAGGAACTCGAGCAACAGTTAGCAGCTGCGGAAAGTTGTCTTAAAGAAGAGGTAAGTGTAAGAACCAAATGTGCATTATGAAATCTAGATATTTATGAAGTTCGATTCATGACGCAACTTTTCCCTATATTGTTGGAAACAACAGAAAGAATTGATCTCGCAAAAGGATGTCGAACATGAAGCTAAGAAACAAGAAATCGTTCTTCTCGAAAGCCAAGTGAAGGATCTCGAGCAGAGGTTGCAGCAAGCTGATGCAAAGGCGAAAGAAAAGGTAGATTTTACTTGAATCCATATTTTTTTATCGAAGAAAGAGTCCTCCTTCACTGGAAATGACACGTTGATGATAACGTGGCTCGTCGGTGCTGATTTAGTGCTCATCTGTCTGATTTGTCCGTGCCATGTGGAATTTTTTTTTAATTTTTAAAAGTTTTTTATGTGAAAAAAATTCACATGTTGCCGATGTGACGCTAACAAATCAGACACGTAAGCGTCAAATTATCATCGCATCATTGACAAAGTGTCACCCCGGTGATGGAGACCAGTTCTGCCAGGGTGACTAGAAAAAGAGTTTACCTTAGTTTTACTAATCTAGAATTAAATCAAATTACGGAACATGCTCAAATAACATCAAGCTTGTTTTTTCTTTTTAGCAAGATTCAATACATTAATGATCCATCATGATGCAGCAGGGTGTGGAAGAACACAAGGACGTGACTATAAAGTCACGGGAAATCGAATCAATACCCGGAATGACGACTCCTTCAAAAAGGAAGAGCAAGAAAAAGTTGGAGGCAGCTGCGGCTTCATCGCCCTCAGGTACGGCGTCACCACTCCAAACTAGTGAGGAGTCATCATCATCATCCTCCATGATGAACGTAAAGTTCATTTTAGGCGTGGCTCTCGTATCTGTCATCATCGGTATTATCCTTGGAAAGAGATATTAGGCGTGGGTCGTATGCATGGTATGGTGTGTTGTCGAATTTATCATCGTGGTTTTCGCCATTTTTTGCTTCTTCTTCTGTTTATTTTTTTTTCTTTTTTTTTTTGTCCGTAGTAATATGGTTTGTGTATTTGTATAAAAGGCGCGGATGATGTACCGGGTTTGGGTTTGGTGGTTTGAGTTTTGGTTTGGCGAACTTAACTTGTGTCGGGATATCGGTTTTTGGCTCGAATCTTGACTGTTGTTTTAAAGTTGGGTTCTTTTGATCGTAAAATGTTATATAACTTATGTTGGGATGGATAATTGGTCTAAGTTTGTATTCGATGATTTTTTATTTTTGTTTTTGTGTTAATATGATTACCATGTGACTGTTTTTTTTAGAAATGATTACGCACTTTAATCTCATTTTAAATTTTTTAATTTTTTTTAAATTTTAATTAAACTAATTAGTTATCTTGAATAATTATTTTTACTAATATATTCTTAATTATCTACTAATTATATCACTCCTAATATATCGTATATGTACGTGCGACGAAGGTAGTAATATTATTTTGGAAAAGATGAGAGAAAAAAATTTGGAAGGACAAAGCCTACATGCTTGCATAAAATATTATATTAACTCATATTACTTATGTGTATATAATGCTATGTTCATATTTATATATTATTCACCAGTATTATTTTTAAAAAATATTATATAAAATATATAAAATATTTATTTTTTGTTTAAAAAATACTATATTAAAAATTATTTTTTTACACAAAAATATCACATTCAAAACTCTTCAGAATTTTGAAAACACTCTTGCGGTAAATGAGAGGATGGATGTATCTGGGGATATAATAGTAATATAATTAATTAAATATAAATTAAAATTATATTATAAAATATTTTTAAACTCTCTAAATAAAAACATATTCAATATCTGTATTATGGTTTAAAAAATTTGGCTTTTATTTTTTATTTTTTTTAAACACACCCTAAAATTGTATATATTATAGTATTTACACCCTAAAATTATATATATTATAGTATTTACACAGCGCAAAAATTGGCTGTAAAAGATTTTTTTTTTAACATACTATTAACTTTTACTTGGATATTCTTTTGAAAATATTTTGAAATTTTGAGTTGGATTAGATATAAGAAAATTGAATTTAAGAATAAATATTTTATGTAATATGAATAGATATGTTTTTAATATAATATTTTAAATAAAAGCACATATTCGACCAATGTTCTTTCAAAGCAAAATTGATAACAAATAGTGTAAAAGTAATATTAAAAGTAGAGATGATTGATATATCGAAATTTTTGCTTTATACAGTATATATTATACTGAATTTTTCAGCATGTTAAAAAAATATATTGATATTCAACTGAAAATTCAGTAGAATAGATATATACAACACGATATCAGTATTTCCCATTTTATACTAAAATATCAAAATAAAAAATAATTTTATAATTTTAAAAAAAATATTAAAAATAATAATTTTGATATCAATAATATTAAATCATTAGTATATATCGATATATCAAACACTAAAACATTAAAATAATATACTATATTTTCAATAAAATATCTAAAATATAAAACTCTATATTATTACCATGTACAATATCATATAATGGTACCAAAAACTTCAATATTTTTTGTATTTTTGATAATTTGATATTTTTATTTTATTTTATTTTTTGTCCCTAATTAAAAGTTTCCAAGAGTTGTATTTATTAAAAATGTACAAGTGAACTGGCATCTAAGAGCGGCCGCCCATTTTCGATTAACGTTCGGAAATATTGTCTAAGCACATAAAAACAACCGTAAGTAACAATCAATAATAATAATAATAATAATAATAATAATAATCATAATTTTTTTTTAAGATTATAAATGTTAATAATATTTTTAATTTTCTAGCCTAGCATAATCTTTTAAATTATAACTAAAATAATTAATTATTTTAATCTTAATATAACATTATTTGTTTGACAATATAATTATTTTTATTAATATATTTTTCAATTATTTAAAAATTATGTCTCTTTTAAAATATACAAGACAAATTAGGAGAGTAATACTCCCTCCGTCCCACATAATTTGTCCCTATTTTCTATTTTCGTCCGTCCCGCATAACTTGTCCTTTTTATTTTTGGAAATATAATTATGCACTTTAATCGCATTTTAAATTTTATAATTTTTTAATTTTAATTAAACTATTTATTTATCTTAATCTTAATCTATAATTATTTTTACTAATACACTTCTTAATTACTTACTAATTATATTTTACCTAAATTCCAGTATATACAGTAATACACCCATATTACATGAGACGGAGGGAGTAATATAATAATAATAATAATAATAATAATAATAATAATAATAATAATAATTTGCATTCGTATATGATATGATGATATGTGGTCCTAAAACTAAAGCATGAACATGCATGTATGTCCTCATTCATTTTTGTGACAATAATTTCATCCCAATAATACACTTAATAATAGACAACACAATACATTTATTTATTTATATGTGAATGTCCTAACACTATCTACATGTGCATAGCTAGAGCCGCGAATTGGTCGATTCGTCTCGGGTTGAATATTTTAAACGGGTTAAATTACTCAATCCTAATTCGGCCCGTTTATTATTGTGTTAGGTTCGGGTTGACTCGTGTTGACCCGTATACATAATTAAGTCTAATTTCTTGATTCAAATTAAATAATTTTTTGTTTTGTTGTCGCGTTATATTAGTTTTTATTGGTTTGAGCGTAAATTAGGTTGAATTATTTAAAATTGAACTTAGTTTAAATTAATTTATGAAAAAATTATTAAATTATGATTATTTTTTATATATAATAAATATATTAATAAATATTAATATATTATAATCGGGTTGTCGTGTCGGGTTCGAGTTGAGAGCTTCAACCCTAACCCGACCCGTTTATTATCGTGCCGGGTTCGTGTCAACCCGTATACATAATCGGATTAAAATCTTTGATCCAAACCAAATTATTTCGTGTCGGGTCAGTTTTTGTCAGCTCCATCGGCACAGCCACAACACACTTCTCTTTGTATTCTTGTTCTTGTAACAATAGACATTTTTCATATTTTATGTCCCCTTTGTTAATTGGAAGACATTTCACTTAATTTTTTACAAGACAATAGAAAATAATTGTAGTATTTAATATGTAAATATAGTTATGGTAATAAAAAAAATCTACTGAATTACTTAGAAAATGTTTTCAACATGGAATAATAATTTATTATATATATGTATTATTGAAATTTGATTTTAAAAACAAAAACCTCCAATATTATTACATAGACAAACATAATAGAATTGAAATAACTCATATTTATTTTATTTTATTTTATTTGTATTTAAAATATTATATGATGGAATAGTTATTGGATACAATATTATAAATAAAAATGAGTACTTTCTTCGTCATATAAAAATAAAATCATTTAATTTGGGCATGAGTTTCAATGTGACGTGTAATTTTTTTTACCTTTTATAATAAAAAAAATATATATATATATTTAAAATGATATGATTTTTTGCTAAAATAGGAATAGAATTTTTATTTATTTATTTATTTTTACGACATACAAATAAAGAAAAATGAATGTATTTTCTTATGACAAAAGAGTATTGGATATAATATTTTTTAAGAAAAAAAAAATAGTTGATTAAATAATAAAAAATTTATTATTAAAAATCACAATTAAACACAAATTTCTAGCCACAAATCATCATGTGTGTAAATTTCATACAAATTATGTAAACAAACTTTTACCCTTCAAAGACAAAGTATTCTATTTATAGAGTTGAGGGACCATAGAAACAAAGAAAATGATGTATAGTTTGTTTGTTAGTGTCAAATAATTAGAGTATAGATAAGACCAATGAGCTCAATGTTAAGACAAAATAATTTCATATGCAATCTCAAATATACTTTTATTTTTGCATCAAAAAATTACACACACCCACATATATATATATATATATATTATTTTATTTATTTATTTATTGAAAGTATTGTTGTATGGGTGCCTATTTTTGCCTAAGTGAGCTGATAGTACAATAATATATACTCTCTTCGTCCGCCTCTAAGTTCACATTTACTTTTTCTGTCATTGTATTTGATAATAGAAATATTCTTATATCTGTTTAATTTTTTGTACAAATGTCATTCTATTAGTATTATAAGACACTAATAGAAGTACTTTGCAATTTTTTTTTTTAATTTGTACTATGTTTTGATATAATAATTAATATTTAAAAATCAACACACAAAAAATAAATAGGACCTTTAGAATTGGACAGAGGTAGCATTAGACAATACGTTAGATACAAACATATAACACAAATATAAAATAGAATAGAATTGACAATATATAGTAATACTTTATACAATATGTGTTATCTGTTATATTTTTATATTATATATATATATATATATATGTGTGTGTGTAAGGATTGGGGCAATCACCATGGTGCTGAAACGTCTAATTGTGATATTTGTATTGAAATTTTTACAAGTCCTATGTTACACTTATTTATACATGAGTTGTCTTCAATTTGTGTTGATTAAATACACATTGTTTTCTTGTAATAATCCCTCACTTCTCTTAGTACACTGTTGGTGTGTTTGTTTGGGGGATTGGATTGGATTTACATTATTTATCTAATTTTTTCTCCCTAAAAACATCAAATCAAACACCTATTTTTCATTTTTTATATTATACTAAAAATCAATTTTACATTTAAAACTTTACATCAACACCTATTTATATCACATCATACAACTATTCAAATTCAAAATTTTTACTATTCAAATTTTAACTCAAAATCCAAATTCCCAAACAAACACACCCGAATTCGAGCAACAATAATGGCTAGTTTTCTCTTCTAATAAAGGTTTTTATTTATTTTATTTTTTTCACCCCAATAAAAAAAATAAAAAAATAAATTACAGAATGGTCTTAATTTTTGTGGGTGAAATATATATAAAATGGTCTTGCATTTAGGGATGTCAAATAGTGCGAGTTAGTAACGGACCCGCCCCGGATCCGCTCTTAACGGGGCGGGTTCGGGTCTAAATAATATGTTTCAAGGCGGATTGTGGATTTAAAATTTTTAATTCGGCCGGATTCGGGACGGATTACGGGTTTTACTAAAAACCCACCCCAACCCGGACCCGGACTTGAACTCGGATATTTTTTAAAATTATTATAACTAATATATATGTATATTTATATAATAAAAATATATTATTTATTTACTTAAATAATTTTAAATATAAAATTCAATTAGTCGCCTGCTTCAAATAATTTTTTAAAATTATTATACCTAATATATGTATAGTTATATAATAAAAATATATTATTTATTTATTTATCTTATTTTTATGGATCAATATTTGATTGTTTTTAGATTTTTTTTGTGCTTTTAATGCTATTTGTTTTAGTATTCGATTGTTAAAAAAATATTTATTATTATATATTTTAAAAAAAAAACGGATTTGCCGGGTTGGCCCTGAACCCGGAGGGTTCGGGGCGGAGCAGATCCTGGGGCCGGGTGGAAGCGAAGCAGGGCGGGTCTTGGAGCCTAATATTTTCTAGCGGGGCGGGTCTCGGGGCCTGCAGAACCCATCCCGAACCCGCCCGGTTGACATCCTAGTTGCATTGTATGTTTGTTTCTTTTAATGGATAATTGTGTCATAAAATGAGAGAAGGTAGATAAGAGTCAATTTTTACTAAACATCATTGTACAGGCTAATAACAACTTTTTTCCTTCTAACATCACCCATCTTAATTATAAATAATTATTTACTCCCCCGTCCCACATAATTTGTTCATATTTTTTATTTTTGTTCATCCCACATAACTCGTCATTTTCTTTTTTTTAGAAATATGATTATCCACTTTAATCACATTTTAAATTTTAAATTTTATAATTTTTTTAATCTTACTTAAACTATTTATTTATCTTAATCTATAATTATTTTTACTAAATAATAATTATTTCTACTAATATGCTTTTTAATTACCTACTAATTATATTTTACTTAAATTCTCGTATCTACGGTAACACGTCCAAAATATATGGTACGGAGGAAGTATATGTTTATTTAATCAAAGCAAATTTAATAATAATAATAATAATAATAATAAATATACTCCCTGTCCTATTCAAATAGTTTTAAAAAAATTTATATTATATTCATTTGTTTGAATGAAAGGTATTCATTTGATTTTGCATTTAAATTTAAGTATATTAATATTTTATAGATGTGTAGTTTAAGGGCATCCACAACGGGAGACGCTTGTTGAGAAGCGCCTCCCACGTCATCATTTATTAAATAAAAAAAAAATTAAAACATCAATTAACATAAGGAACGGTACATTGCGAGTGTACCGTTTCTTCCAATTTTTGTGGGCCATGGTCCACTTTTTTATTCAATAAATATTAAAAATAATATTTATAATATATACTTTTTTATTTATATTTATAATAATTTATTTTATTTAAAATATTATATTCTAATTTTTTTATATAAAATTTTATTTAATATTTATAATTTGAAATATATTTTTCAAGAAATAAAAAAATTAAATATTTAACTTTAATTATTATGCAAAGTGTGAAATTATTATTTTTATTTATTTTATTTATTTATGCTAAATAATTGTTTTATTTTTATTAAATATTATAAGAATAAAATATGATTGCAAAATATAATTTTATTTTATAAATATATAAAATATTTAATGATGCGGAAAAAATAGAGATATTAAAAGGTTCTTTGATGTGGATATAAAATATGATTAGAATAGAAAGAAACCCTGTATGGGTATTTGGATTGAGGATAGCCTAATAAATGAATGTAAAATTTATTTTACCCTAGACAATATGAGATTAAAAAAAGAAGTATGAAAAATAAAAATATTATTATATTTAATTGAGATATACTTTTACTAAAAAAAACAAATACTTTCAATTTGGAAAGACAAAACTGACCAAATGAATATTTTTTACTGAGATTTATGTAAAATGAAAAACTTTAAAGCCTATGGATCATATATTGATTCATAATTAAGTTTAGTATTTGTTGAATTAAATCTTGCTTAGCCTCAATGATAATTATATTACCCTCAATAGCAAGATCACATCCAACCATTAATCTTGTGTTGATAGTTTTAAAATTAAGAATTTGGATTTAATTCAGATGATATTTGAATAAATAAAAATAAAAGTATATATAAATTGGTAATTGTATGAATATCACATATAAATAATCTATTTAGATACAATAACTAAATAAGACTATAAGACTATTTAAGTGGAATGAAAAATAAGAAATATCAAATTTTGTTCATTCCGTATTAATTTTTTTTTTTCAATTTTAATTTTATACTATTAATTATAAAAAATTCCTTAACAAATCTAACTATTTTTTTTTATTTAAAATACCATATAAATATCTACTTTAAAATATTATATGAAATTCCTATCTAGTTCCAATTCAATAAATATATAAGTCTCTTTGTCTCATTTAAAACAAATTTTATTATTATTTTTATCTGTCTCACTAAAAAAAAATATATTTTTTTATCATAGTAAAAATAATCATACACCAATATAAAAAATATTTTTAAATTTTTATATAAATTACAAATACATCATTACATATACAATTAATTTATAAAATATAAAAGATAAAAAAATATAAAAATCATCTTACATACTTTCATTAATCAATAAAATATTATTATTGTTTAATTAATTATAAAAATTTAAAAAATTATATGGAAATAGAGGAAGTATCATTTATTTTTAAAAAATAAATTAAAGATAGTACTTACTATATTTATGTGCACCTTTTGTTTTCCTACATTAAAAACACTTATGTGCATGTCATTAATTATTATTATTATTATTCCTAAGACATCACCACATCAAAAGAATCAAAAACAAGAAAAAGATCACCAACTTTAGTGCATTGATGATTGATGTTCATAAATTTGCTACATTAACATTATTAACATCTTTTTAAATTTTTTATTTCAATCACCAAAGAATCAAAACTTCATCTTTACAACACCATCAAAACACACACAAGTTCTGCTGAGTTCGACTCGACTCGACTCGTTTTCGTACCTAAATTGCACACACCGCCCCTAATCCGAAGGCTCCCAAGCCGAAGCCGTCATCAACGACAAATCCTTCCACCCGAGCTTGAGACACCCATTCTCCTCGACTAGAGTGTAGCCTTGCCACGGGAACATCCCGAGCAACAAGCTCGCTTGTGCGGCTGGGTTTCCCGCGAGAGAAACCGGCCCGAATCCGGCCCGGCGCAACTCTTCCCCCCACCTCTCGACGCGCACCTCCCCCGTCCTCTTTGGGCCCCCGACGGCCACAATGTTGCGTATCTCGCACCCGAACAATTGTTGCTCGACGGCATGACGGTCGGAGCTCGTGGGCCCGAGCCCATCGCCGAGGGCGTCGAATAGGGCCGAGTAATAGTGCAAGGCCTCGACGAATCGGCCGAGGAAGGCCCCGCCATGGCCCAAATCTTGCTCAACAATGGTGATCAATTTGGGCCTAATTAGGGTTAGGGTTTTGAGTGCATTTAAGTCACTACCGGTGATGTCATACAGGCAATGGTGCATCCAATGGACTATGACGGTTTCTCCAATTTGGAGCCCTAATTGGGTCAGGTCTTGGAGATTTCCGATTTTGCCCTCCACGGCCTGGAATTGGAACGGGATGCTGAAGGCGGCGGCGAATTCGGCCAGGCGGCGGCCGGTGGCGGCGAGGAGGTCGCCGGAGGGGCCGAGGCCGGTGATGCGGAGGGACTTGATGCGGCGGGATTTGGAGGCGAGGATGTGGAGCAATCCTGGCCATTGGAGGCCCTGCATGATGTCGAGATCGATGACGTGGACGTGATCCGCGCCGTCCACGGCCTGCTGGATCGCCTGGTTCGCCGTGAAGTGCGCGAATTTCACGAGCGGCGCGGCGGAGTTGTAGATTTGGACGGCGTTCTGCAGCCGGAGGAGGTGCGCACGCGGCGGCGGGGAGAGTGGCGCGTACGCGCCGAGGTACGACGCCACCACGCGCGCCGAGAGCGCGTCCGCGAAGTACGCGCCGACCCGCTGCGCCGAGGATCCGTACGGCGACGAGAGCTCCGCGATCTCCGGCAGCAGCTGCCCGGCGTCGTCGAGGTTGTCCATCGCCACGCACTCTGCGCACTGGAGAAGCAGACCGAGCAGCCGTAGCCCGCCGGAGTCGGAATCTTCATCTCCGACCGCCGCCCGTAGCTGCTGCGCCGCCTCCTCATCCGCAATCGGAACGTCCTCAGAGCTGCTGCGGCGGCGGCGCTTGACTGGATCGGAAGCGTCGGCGTCGTCGTCGGCGGTGGAGGGAATGTCGACGGGACGCTTGCCGGCGGAGGTCATGGAGAGAGGGGAGTGATTGGGTGCGGTAGGGCGCAGGGTAAGCGGTGTGTGGAGCATTGCTGCAGAAGAAGAAGAAAAAGGAATTGAATGAAAAAGGGGAAAAGCTTTTGGCGATGAAGAAGAAGAAGAAGTCGACAAAATTAATTTTCTTGTTTCTTATTAATTTCTATTTTATTTTTATTTTTATTTTAATAATTATATTAGAGTTATTTATTCAAGATATATCGATGATGAAGCAATGATGGCACGGGTGAGAAGGGCTTTGTTTTTTGTGTTGAGTTCATTAGAACCTTTGACTATAATAAATATTAGTCCATCTGTCTTGTTTTGTGTATTGTGCCTATCTTGTTACTTCTACACGTTTTATATTTTACTAAATAAGGATTATAGATTTACTCATATTTTGAATTTTATTTATAATTTATAATTTTTTTTAATCGGATAAAATAAATGTGTTTAATGTAAAATTATAATTATTCATATTATACTCTATTTATTTTTTATTATTTATTAATTATATATATATTTTTTAATTTTATATCTATAGTACTTATGACACAATAAATGGTAGGGAAAAATATATAAATATACATACATATTTCATTAAATAACAATAATAATAATAATAAGACAAAAAATCAATTTTGGTTCTAATATACTTAAAATAGATAAATTTTAGTCCAAATATAAAAAAAAACTCGTCAATTTTAATTTTATTATAAATAATTTTAATCAATTTTGGTTCAATTATAAAAAATTTCAATTAATTTTGGTCCTACAGTTCAAAAACTAAGTTGACGTGACAACGGACTTGGAAACAACACGACCATGTGCTATTGTACACGGTCATGTTGTCACACGACTATATATAATTCAATATACAATTATACACGGCTATGTTATCACACAACCATGGTTTTTTGTTTTTTAATGACGTGGAAACCCGTAATCGCTACTTGAAAGTGCGTATTGGGTAAACCCCCGGCCGAACCTAATATCATGCATACTAGGCCCGACAAGGCAAGTCACACGACCATGTTTAATTCTACACGCCGTGTACCTTTATGTTTTGGTCTAAAATTTTATTATTTTTTATATATATTTTTTAAAATAATATTTTGAAATTAGAATAGCTAATATAGTTAAAATGAAAAAAATAATAATTAATAGTAATCTTAATATAATTAAAATTATAGTATTAATTTTAGTTCACATATAAAAATTTATAGGGTATGCTCTTTTCGAAAATTTTGCCTAAAATTCTTTTTTTCAATAAAAATTTTCCTACTAAACACATTCAATTACATAATTATCTTTTTTATTTTTATTTTATACTATAGTATTAAAAATTAATTTTACATTTCAATACAATTATATATGTCTATGTTGAAATAGTATTTAAATTAAAATAAATTTTAATATAATATAAAAAAATAAAAAATAGTTAAGTAATGAAATGTTTGTAAGAGAAAATTTTTTTATGAATAGTAGAATTTTAAGTCAAATCTTTCAAAAGAATATACATGACAAAATTTTTATGTTTAAACTAAAATTGATACATTTTAATTATATAAGAGTTACTATTGATTTTTTTTTTTCTATTTTAACTGTATTAACTATTTTAATTTCATAAAATATATACTCTCTCCGTCCTATATCTATATATCTATTTGTTTTTGTACAGAGTTTCAGAAATATTATTATTATATTGGGATAAAGTAGAAATCAAAGTAAAAATACTAAATTAACCCTATTAGTATTGTATGATATAAAGGTAATGACATTTGTGTAATATATTCTAAATTGGAAGAGTATTTGTAATGTCAGGTAGATAGTACAATTACTAAAAAAAAAAAAATATGGATACTTTGTTATGGGAATGAACAAAAATGGATAGATTATTAAGGGATAGAGAGAGTATATTTTAAAAGATATAACAAAAAATTTTTTCGATCAAAACAAAAATGTGCACGGCCGTTTAGAATTAAACATGACATTGTAGCAATATGGTTATTTATAATTGTACACTGAATTATACATGACCGTATAAACATATCCGTGTATATTATACATGACCATTTTGTTTCAGGTTAGCTATCACGTCAACCCCGTTACGTTCGCGTCAGCAATTTTCGTTAGTTTTTTAAACGGTAAAATCTAAATTGATTGAAATTGTTTATAATAGAACTAAAATCGATGAGTTTTTTATATTGAAATAAATTTTGATTTCATTGAAACAAAAAATAATTTTTTTTCTTTTAAATAATAATAATAATAATAATAATAATAATAGTAGTAGTAGTAGTAGGAATAAATAGTCTTTCTTTACTCATTAGACTTGCCAATCAGTTCCGGAGCCACCACGTAACTAAATCTAAAACTAATTTTTACATAGTTCAATTCCCATTTCTATGTATATAAAAATAAAAGAAAAATAGTTAGTCATTGCGGTCAAAATGTTCCTGGTGTGCTGTTCATCCCAGTTTTTTTTTTTTTTTTTTTTCCAAAAATATTAAATCAAAATACCTATTTTTTATTTTTTATATTATATTAAAAATCAATTTTACATTCAAAAATCACATCAACACCTATGTATATCACATCATACAACTATTCAAATTCAAAATTTTTACTATTCAAGTCCCAACTCAAAATCCAAACCCCAAACAAACAATTCCGAACAAAACTAAAAAAAAGGTCCCTTCGTTTAATCATTTTACATAATAAGTAATATAAATTTTTAATAATTTTCAATAATTTTAAAATATTTTTTAGTATATTTAATTCTATCATAAATAAAATATATTAATTTTTGTTCATAAAACATATGTCAAAATATATTAATCAGAATTCAAATTTAAATAAAATCAAACAAACATGAACATAAATATTTTAATATTTCCTTTGAAAAAAAATTATTTTTATATATTAATATTTGAATATTAATTATTATATTAATATATAGTACAAAGAAAATATTAATTATTATATTAATAAGTAGTCCAAAGGAAGAAAAAGAGCACTACCAGAATTTTATTAATCAGTATAAAAAATTATCTCGAAATCAATTCCGATACAATAAAAAAAACATATATAATAAACCTAAAATCAATTAACCATTTTTTGCTCGGAAATTTCGAGACTATTTAATTTTATTTCGGATACTCCGAAGCTATATTAAATATATATTTTATTATACTGCATTGTTTCAGAATTTCCGAATCTATTCTACATAGTCTCGGAATTTTCGAACCTATTTTAAATAGTCTAAAAAACTCTGAACCATTTTAATCTCGGAAAATTCCGATTATTTATTAGTGTCGAAACTTTCGAACCTATTTTAAAATGTATTGGAAATTTCTGAACCTATTCTAAATAGTCTCCGAAATTTCGAACTTTTACGGTTTTGAAAATTCCGAATCTATTTTAATTAGTATCTGAATTCCGAACTTTTATTAGTCTCGGTACTTTCGAACCTATTTTAATTAGTATCGGAATTTTCCGAACCTACTTCGAGACTTTTACACTCTCAGAAATTCCGAATTTATTTTAATGAATCTCGAAAAATTCTGAACTTTTATTAGTCTTGAAACTTCCGAACCTATTTTAATTAGTTTCGGCATTTTCCAAACCTATTCTAAAGAGTCTCGGAAATTCCGAATCTATTTTAATGAATCTCGGAAAATTTTGAACTTTAATTAGTCTCGGAACTTCCGAACCTATTTTAATTTGTTTCGGAATTTTCCGAATATATTCTGAATAGTCTCAAAAATTCCGAGACTTTTACAATCTCGAAAAATTCCGAACCCTCGTTAGTTTCAGAACTTCTGAACCTATTTTAGTTAATCTCGAAATTTTTCGAATCTATCAAATAATAATTATTCAACCGCCACTATAAATTAAATTAATTTTTATTTTTATTTTATTTAGATATATTTATAATTTATTTATTGTGTAAAAAATATAAAAATAATAATTGATCAACATATTACAATATAAAAATAATTAAAACAATGAAATTAGGGTGTGTTTGTTTGGAAATTTATATTTTGAGTTGAAATTTTAATAATAAAAATTTTGAATTGTAACAGTAGTATAGTAGTATGATACGATATAAATAAATATAAATGTAATACTTCGAATTTAAAATTAATTTTTATTATAATATAAAAAAAGTATTTCATTTGATATTTAAAAAGAAAAAAAAATTATTGAATAGTGAAAAAATGATCAAAATCTCATAAAAGAATACACTTATAAGTAAATAAAATAAAATTTAAATAAAAAATAAAATAAATTATAAAAAATTATGTATTAACTAATAAAATAATTTAAATTAAATATTATTTATATAATAAAAATTACAAAATTTAAAATATAAATATACAAGACAAAACTATTATATTATAATTATTATCTTTTTTACTTTAATAATGATTTATTTTATTAATATTTATATTATTAAAACAGCGGATTATTGGGTTTAAATATCTATTTGTTAAAATTTATTTATATTTAGTCCTCAAATAAATTGATCTGCAATTCCTATTTTATTTAATTATTTGTTCTATCATCCCTCTTTTGCAGCCCTCTCCAACAAAAAGAAAAAGAAGAAACTTCTTCGACTGCGTGCGCAATCATCGAAGAAACACTAGTGTCCAATCCACTATCTGGTAGTCCACGCCCTTCCAATCTTTAATACCCATTCATTTTTAGGTTTTCGATCTCGAAGACCCATCTCTTCGCCGTCGAGGTGTATTTGTTTGGGTTTTCCGCACAAACTGAAAGCGATTTTTTTCCGAAAAAATCGCCATCACCTCTCCGGCGGTCACATCATTTAACCGTGAACAAACAACTGACCTTAAAAATTTCAAAGGTTAGTAACTCTATTTGCAACTAGTAGATTTTGATTTAGACATAAAAGTAGTTATTTGGTGAACATTTTTGGGGGCAACATTTAGGTATAGACGTAATAGTGTAATTTTATTTGGAAAATTTTGAATAAATTGTTTTATACACGAGATAGTGTATTTTCAGTTATGCGGTTCATAAGAATATGATTTTTAGTATTCTTTTTTATAGATAAATTTGTTAGTATGGTAATATAATTTTATATGGTGAGGCAAAATTATTAATTCTGAAGGCTTGATTAGGTATGATGGAAAGGGACGAAAACAGTCAGAAATTGTTAATTATGGTTCATACCAAGAAGAGTTTCATGTAATAGGTTTAGAAACGACCACCCTGCTCGAGGATATTTATAGAAATCTATAAAAAATATGGAGTAGTATAATTACAGTAACAGTAAAACTCCAATATATTTCACCAATCCAGAAAAACTATGTGACGTTCTTGTGTGATGATGATGTGACAAATATGTGGATGATGCATTAATTTTAAAGGTACTATTTGTGGACATTAATGCACGGTCCAAGAGTGAGCAACAAAACATCTATCTTCGATGCACGATTGGGCACAGGTACGTTGCTAATTTATTAGACATACTTGGTATAGTAAGATGTACCTCCTATTAAGTTTGTGCAACTAGGCTGTCCGAAGAAATGATGCTATGACTCCCAGTAAATAAAACAATCACGAGGCACGATAGAAGAAATTGTACCTTGTTCGTCCTCGAACAAACTGAATTATGAGATCACAGAGTTATTCTGTTCACTGCAGTCAAGAATTGCTAATGATCAGCGCCATGATTTGGAGTAATGTGAATCTCGGGTAGAGACAATTGATCCTTAAGCATTCAAACTTGTCATTTGATTTAACATGAATGGAGTTATCCCGGTATCATCTACTTTGTTTGCTTAGCAGGGATTATTTTTTATTAAGGAAGCCTTCAGCCGAAGGGTACGGAGAATCATTACTTTTTTTTTTTTTGATCAAGAGTTTTAAACAAACATTGTGTCTGCTCATGATCTTATTCGATTCTCGCGCACCTAGGCATTTTCAGCTCCTTTGTAATGATAGGTCCTCCCTACTTCGCTCACATTGTTTCTTAAACCATATTTAAGGATTTCTCTTTTCAAATCATCTCTTGTGAACAAAGTCGATAGACAAAAGTTCGCTTGCCCTACTGAGTATGGAAAAATTGAAACAAAGGGGGCACTAATCCTCACAAGTCCCATTCGCTGTTACTTAGTTTAACAGCAATGTTCGAGTTATTGAGAAAGTTCGAAGGACAATTACTTGGTCTGGTGTTTGTAAGTTATCTAACTTTACTTCAAAACATATCATAGAGCTAACGCAACAGGATATCACAAGTATCTCAAATAAGAACACATACTTCAGATTATGGTAGACATACAATAAAGAAAAATTTCACTTGTTACCAAAATTGTCGTTTCGTTGATCATTTGTTCTATGTACAACCCTTGCCATTTCAGAGACTATGTACATGGGGGAGGACATTCCTTTATTTTCTTTTCTCGCTCGAGGGTCCTCGCCCCTGGGGAAGATTCCTTGTCAGCTGCCGCACTAGATCTTCCATTCTTTAGAGACTTCGAGCTGTGTCAAGTTGTTGTTCCATGAGGATTGCGTTCTGCTGGGTGATGGCTGAAAACGCATTCAAGATCTCTGTTTGAGATGCACCCAGGCTTGCAACTCGAGTCTCCAGCGCCTCCACACGCGCTTCTAGTGTGGCGCTTGCCTTTCTGCTAGTGGCCAGTCCTTAAGCCAAATTCCTTGCATAAGTATCTATCAGCATTTGGGTCATCAGGTATTGGCTGAGCATGGCTGCGTTGGTTCATCCAGTCATCTCTCTAAGGTGTCAAGAGTCGCGCAGGAAGCTGATGTGCCTACTTCCGCGGCTGCTGGTGACTGTCCCTCCAACTCAGCCGAACTGATATCCACTGGCTCCTTTTTTCTCGAGGAATCAGGTGCTGGCTCAGGGGTGACATCCCTTAGGAACACCAATTGCCTCGCTGCCTCACACTCCAGCTGTTCTGCCTTCTTCCGCTCCAAGTATTTTCTGAATCGCAGCTGGAGTTGGGTGAGTGGCTTCCAGTATTTGAGCAACTTGGTCAGCACCTTCATCTTCTTTTTCTTTTGGCGCTCGCGTTGTGGCTTCTATTCTAGCTGTTGTATTGCAACGAACAGCTGAGCTTGTTCTTCCCGGAATCGCTTTTCCTCTTCATCCTCCTCCTCATCGAAGATTGTTTTGTCAGATTTTGTTGAGGCCGGAGTTAGAGTTTCTGCCGGTGTTCCAGTTGTTATTGGCGTTCTGGGACTGCGTGGAGACACCTGCAGAAGGGAAAGATTTGTTATGACTGCCTCAACCCTCTCGGTTTCATTGGCAGCTTCAGCGGTTGTGGCAGCGAGGACCTCGGCGGGATACTCCTTATAAGATTCCACTGTGACATCAATCCCGCCGATGGTTTCTTCGGTTATGATGGTCTTCCGCTCCTCCTCTGGTCCAAGAGCAGTAGGCTCCACCGCTCCCGGCTGGTTAACTGGTGTGGTTTCATTGTCTGGTCCAGCAGCAGTTGACTCACCTGCCCTATGCTGGTTGAAGGGAACAGGTTCATTGCCCAGTGGACTCTGTGGCGGCTCGGGTGACACCCCCTCCGTTGCTAGCCTCGCTGGTGAAGGTCTTTCGGGTTGAGCAGTGGGTTCTCTGATTGTGATCCCCTTCATTAGTCTGGAAAGCGGGATCATGTCTTCGCGCGCTTCTTCTTCCACCGTTTTCCCCTTCCCCTTCTCCTGCCTTGTCGCTCGCCGATGGGGTGTTGGATTTTTTCGTAGTGCCTCTTTCACCATCGGCTTCTTGACAGGCGCTGGAGCGAGGTCTTCCTTTCGCTTCGACCTCTTCTCACCAGCGGCCGCTCCTGGAGCTTTTCCTCCTTTATTTTCCCTGGCCAGTTCTGCCCCGAATAGGTCCTCCTCTATCTCTCGAGCGACGCGGAGGGACTCCTCCTCCTCATCAACGGGAGTTTCATTGGAGATGGTTTGTTCAGAATCGGTTCCTGCAGCGGCCTCTTCCGGATCAGCTTGAAGTGTCACCTCCTCTCCTATTATTTCCTCCCCCCCACAACATTCATTTTTCTTTTTGGTGGAGGGGGTGCAGCCGCTTGTGCTTTCCTCTTTTTTTTTTTTTTTTTTGTTTGGGGATGAGGGTGAACCCCTTGGACTCCAGCCATGCCTTGTGGAAGGCCGCTGAGAGTAGCGGCCTCATTTGCAGTTCTTGGGCTAGAGTGGGCAGATCGACGCCCGTGCGTCGGCATAGCTCTGTAATCAGGGTCCCGTGACCCAGCATTCTTTCTTCATTTCTTCTTTCCTAGATATCTATGCCGATTATCGCGCCCAAATCAACATCAGTTGTCTCCTCCAGAATCGAGCGTGGGGCAAGGAGAAAGTCAGGATGGATGTCTGTGGTGTGAGTGGTGATCATTATTTGGCTCAACGACCACTTCACCCATTCATTTTTCTCTTCGTCCACCGACCCAAATTTAAGGTTCCTCTTATCATATTCGAGGGTGGTGACGAAGGTCCTATATAGCTTCTGCAGCTTAAGCAAGCTACAGGTCTCCATTGCCCGCAACCTATCATCCATTTCCTGGGTGGGGTAGTGGTGTTCCCAGCCCACGACAAGGTTGATCTTCCGCGCTGAGCAGTCTACCCATCCTCATTTTATGTATACATTTCATAGACTCTTAGCTTGGCTTAGGTTCGAATAGAATTCCCTCACCAGTGATACATCCACTGGATCACTAGGATTTCTGATCAACCAGGTCAAGCCCCGCTCTCTCAGCCAATCGACGAGCGGGCTTGAGATCTTTTCGGGGTCAAATCCTCTCTCGTAGAGGATACCCATTGCCTTTGTTTTCTCGTAGGCCGCTGCTGCCTCAATGTTGATGAAGTGTAGGGAGTCGAATTGTTTGGACCTCAACACGTCCTTGGCAGCATCAACAATGTTTTTCTTAGAGATCTTCTCACTCCTGAACGCTTTCATCTTGTCTTCAACTTCCTGACAGACAAGTTTGTCCTTCAGCTCTTTTAGCTGGAAGTCCCTAAGCTCATCGTAATCCAACCACCAGTCGCTCACCGGATACCTTTGCTCTGTTTCCTTAGTGTATTCGAATTTAAGGTAATCCTCCGGGAACTCTGGAATGAACTTTCTGAATGGGATGGACTTCAATTCTCTAAGCTTCCCCCAGTCCTCTATCAGCTCAAGCACCCTCCTCATTCTGTAATAAGCCTCTGGCGGTGCTGGTTCCATAAATTCAGCCCCCGAGGTTGTGGTTATTACTTTTCGCCCATATGTAGATTTGATTCTCTGAACTCTCTTTTCAACTTTCTCCTCAACCTTCTCGAACTCCCTTCTTAACTCTTCTCACTTGCATGGATCTATTTTGTTAGACTTGTTTTGAACCTAGGGTTTTCAGATTTATTGTTTAATTTGATAAATTTATGAATCCTATCTTAATACTTCTAAAATGCTAACAACATCCATATACAGGCAATCATTTCCAAAATCTCAGTGATTTGAACCCTAACTCCTCCCCATCACACGAAACAGAACACTACAGTGAGTGTTTCATTGTGAAAAAAAGAGAAAATCATATAACAGTGTCAAACATACAGGTTATTGTAAAATTGATCCATAAAAAACAAGTATATCAATTATTATATCTAAATCTAGCAGATAAAAGACTTAGATTCACAGAAATTGAAACTATAAACATTTTCGCAATAATGAAGAACAGACAGTTTTCGCGAAAATAATTTTTTTGATTCTGTGTTATTCTGCGTTAAATAAGAGAAAATCAACCATGAATTGAAGTTATTGACTAAGGTTAACCTAGATCTTACCTTAGATAAAGATATTATAGGTTGAAGAATCGGGATTTTGAAAATTTTGTGCGCGGAGAAATGACGGTTACTGAAGCTTCTTGAGGAAGTTACTATAGGGTAAAAGTGGAAAATGGTTGTGGACTGAGGTATTTATAGATTTACTGGCGCTCGTATGGAGGGGTAAGCGGAGGGCTGCCTAGTCCACTGTGTACTACTATAAAGGTATAAGGGTGGGTTATTAAGGCAGGTGAGCAGGTAAAGCAACACTTCTAAATACCTATGGGTGACACACAAGCGGTGTTGGCAGCTTGGGCCGCTTGGGAAGCGATGAATGCTCCTTGGGCAGCTTGGGCTTTCTCCACCTGAGCGAGGTGGGCTTGTAGCCCAACCATTCCCTGCTGGATGCTGCCGAGGGCTCTCATGAGTTGTTCCTCGGTTGGCGTCAGCGTGTGAGGAACGAAAATTGGGACAACAGTGGGGATATGGAGCGGCACCTCTTGCGAAGATGCGGATGTGGCAGAATTCGAGGAAGTCCCAGCGGCAGTTTGGAAAGCTGCGACGACAGTAGAGGGAGCTGTGGCGTTTCCTTGGCTTGCCATGATTCTTTCTCTGGTTTTCTCTCTGAACAGACGTCTCTGTGAACAAGCGGAAAGAGTAGGACTCGTGGAACGCTGAAAATGCTTTGGACCCCTACATAAAAATAACCACACCAAAATAACAAGATAGAGATAAGATTAGTAGAAAGCAAAATTACAAATTAAAAGGTAAATTATTGCGCTACAAAAGATCCTGAACATGAATAATTTTCATGAGTTTAAAATACCCGTTAACGGCGCCAAATTATGATAACTAAAAATTGGCAATGGGTAATTTGTGTATATATTCACATGGAATTTTATATTCGAAAATTGAGGTGTGAATGAATATAGAAAGCAGTTAGATATAGTAAAAGGTTGTGGTTGTAGACCCTGAGTAGTTATCATAATTATTTATACTATTTTACTAGTGAGTTTCCAGGTCGAACACAGGGATTTTAAGTCATGAAATTCAAATCAAGTGCAGATCTTGTAAAAGTGGCGGAAAATGCAGTATAAGGACCCGCTTTGCAGCGGATTCAAGTTTCTACTCTACGGAAAGTGGTAACTAAAAGCGGTAAAGTGAGCGGAGGCGAGCGGAGCGGAAATGAGCGGCGGAGTGCCAGTGATGGTCGAGCAAACGGGACATGAGCGGATGGCACAATATATATGTAAGCGGTGGAGAGTGAGAGAGAGGTGTTGTGTCTGAACTGTGTGTTACTTAATGGCTAGATTTTTCTGGAGGAAATGAGCGAGTGGTGATGGTCTTTAAATGGACATATATATATATAATATGGAAGCGAGAGAAGAAGATGATGTAAATATATAAATCAAATTATAGAGAATTCTTATCACTGGTATCTGACCTTAAGGAATTTACAAAAAGACTTCAATGACACCCATAATCGGAATATTATAAGAAAGAAACCCTACTGTCACTAGGAATTTCTGTGACCTAATAGACCACCGCCTATGCCCCATTAATTATCTTAAATTTTGCCTCATTAGTGGCTTTACCCTTCTGTTACCTCTTTTTAATCAAAATTGAATTCAAACAAGTAGTTAAGCAGGTCGACAAGGCTCCCGCATACTTAATTACATTGAACTACCTTGAAAATACTTGTGGCAAAAGACAAGGCTTAGATAAACAATTCTTCTGTGCTCTAAACCAGTGAGAAAAAAATTCTTTACAATTAAGATTTATATAAGTGTGAAAAAGTATGAAAGAATTGAGGATGAAGAATTGAATGATATTTCATTACTTACCAGTAAAGCTGGAAATTATAGTTCTACAAAACTGTAAACTAAAGCAATAAAACTACACTAAGTAAACAGTAAAGTCTTGGCTAAGAAAGAAGGGGAATCCCCACTCCCTTGGTCATTCCTGTGGAGAACTCCCTTATAGGGTTGGAGCTCTCGGAGAATAGGAAGACAACTAGAATGCACAGGTAATTAATTGTTATAATACTCCAATCGAAATATATTTACATACAGATATCTGGCCCTATTTATAGTAGGTGAAAGGAACGGTTGCAAGCAGTTAAAGATGGTTTCAACCGCTAGGCAGTTAGGCGGTTGGTGCCAGTTATTCTATTGAAGCAGTTGTTGGCCATAACTCCTAGGGTGCTCGCTTTGCTTGCATAGGGTTGTAAGGGCGCAGATCTTCGTCACTTGTTGGATGACTGGAGAGCATCGGTGCAGCTAGGCGGGCTAGCTTGTGCTGGCTGGTAATGGAATGACTGTACCGCTGCAGTTGGGACACTTAGTCAATATTTGAGTTGGGCTGCTGTCACTCTGCAGCAGTGGATGTCTAGGCCGTCGCTCGCGAGCGAGAGAGACTGGCGCTTGTGAGCGGTGGAAGCTACCGTTTGCCTCTCTTGCCTTAGTTTTCTAGGTGGTGTAATCGCCGCTTGCGAGCGGAGGTGGTTGTCGCTTGTGGCGTCTGCCTTAGCTTTTCTGGCACCAAAACACCCCTTAAAAGGGCAAAAATCATTAATAATCTCAACAAACAAACTCAAGATCATGCCAAGCGATATAGATTAATAAACTATGCCATTAACCAGTTATTGTGATGGTTTTTATACAGAAATTCAAGTAATACACAGTTTTGTCAAGCTAAGAATATGCTCATATTTGGAGTCATCAGTCGTTAAAAATGTTATGGAGCACCAAATCCACCTTCACAAAAATCAAATTGCCAAAGTCTTCGAAAAACCATCAAAGCCAAGTTGAAAATTAAATTCGCCTTCACAGAGATCAAATCCTCCAAAAACCAAAATAGTCAAACAAAAAACCAAATGTGAGATTGAAGATTATAAAGACAACATCGCAATACAAAAATAAAATCAATTTTTTTTTTTTTTAAATAATGCAGAAAGCATTAAAGGAAAGAACAAAAAGAGCTTATAAAGAATTCATAAAAGAAAACAAAATATTGCTTATGAATTTAAATACCATAGTCGATCTTGAGATTCATCTTATTTCAAAAATAAACAAATGAGCATGTTAAAGAAAGAGAATTATTGTATAATAACAATCGACTTTTTCTTTATGTTCAGATTTATTTGGTTATGATTTTAATAATTTAGATAGAGATGAATCCAATCTTCTATTATATTAATATGTATATTGATTTCTTCGTCAGTAATTTGATTATTGTTGTATTTCGATATTTATAAGTATTTGTACTTTTATTTGATTTTAATTTTTATGTTGTAATAGTTGTATGTAATGTAGTATTAATTTATTTCATGTTATGTAATACTGAAATAATAACATATATATTTATTACAATGTGAATATTTATACTTTTTTTCTTATTTTTTGATAACGTGAGAACCCGGAGCCGCTACCCT